GCCCATTTCTATGTTAGCTAACTTTCTTCATAGGAATATACAGATTTCTTGATCTCTAACTGAAACCCAGTCCACGACCACTTTGAGAATACCAAGGGTCACACAAATCAGTCTTGAACAAACTCCTGCTTGTGAGATGAATAAACTTATTTTAAAATAGTTATTTTAAGAGTTGTTATTTTGAAATAATTTATTTCAAAATAATCTGGTATTATCGATAGACCTGTTGTTTACATCGCAGTGCCTTTTTTTGTTCTGTGCCCAGTCACATTTTGGCTTGTAGACTCCTCAGGGCAGGTATTGTGCTGTTGTCTGACATATTAAACAAGCTTAAGAGGGGTATCCAAGTTAGTCTGTAACTGGAAAAACTTAAAAAACAACAAATAGTCTGGTAGCACTTTAAAGACTAACAAAACATGTAGATGGTATCATGAGCTTTCGTGGGCACAGCCATGGGCACCCACATGGCACCACATTATGCCAACATCTTTATGGCTGACCTTGAACAATGTTTCCCCAGCTCTCGCCTCCTAACACCTTTACTCTATTTACGTTACATCGATGACATCTTCATCATATGGACCCACGGGAAAGAGACCACTGAAGAATTTCACAAAGATTTCAACAACTTCCACCCCACATCAACCTCAGCCTGGATGAGTTCACACGAAAAATCCACGTTCTTGACACTACAGTACAATTAAATGATGGACAAATGTCCACCACTATATACCGGAAACCCACCAACCCCTATACTTACCTTCATGCCTCTAGCTTCTATCCTAGACACATTTCTCAATCTATTCTATAGAGCCAAGCCCTAAGATACAACCAGATTTGCTCCAATCCCACAGAGTCAAAAACATACAGGGTCTATATAGAGCATTCCTAAAACTGAAATACACACCTGGAGAAGTGAAAAAACAGATTGACAGAGCCAAAAAAGTACCCAGACATGAACTCCCTCAAGATAGGCCCAAAAGAGAAAACAACAGAATTCCACTTGTCATCACCTACAGTCCACAACTTAAACCCCTTCGATGCATTATCAAAAATCTACAACCTATCCTGGAAAATGACCCCTCACTCTCAGAGGCCTTGGGGGAAAGGCCAATTCTCACTTACAGACAACCCCCTAAACTGAAACAAATTATTTCTGGTAATCACACAGTACAGCTACACCATAAGCATCCAGGAACCCACCCCTGCAATCAGCCCCAGTGCCAACTCATCTACACAAGCATTTTCATCACTGGACCCAACCACATCAGCAGCTCATTTAACTGTACATACACTAATGTGATCCATGCCATCAATGTATATCAGCCAAACTGTACAGTTTCTATGGGAAAGAACTGATGGACACAAATCAGATATACCTATCTCATAGAGCTGGAAGGGACCTTGAGAGGTCACTGAGTTTAGTCCCCTGCCCTCATGGCAGGACCAAGTACCATCCCTGACAGATTTGCCTTAGATCTGTAAATGGCCCTCTCAAAGACTGAGCTCACAAGCCTGGGTTTAGTAGGCTAATGCTCAAACCACTGAGCTATCCCTCCTGCCCTAGATTTGAGAAGGCAACACACAAAAACCTGTTGGAGAACACTTTCCTCTTCCTGGACACTCATTAATGGATCTCCAAGTTGCTGTTTTGTTTCAGACCAATTCCACAAGCCAAATACACAGAGAAGGATTGGAGCTTAACTTCATTCACAAGTTTAATTTGTATACTAATGGTTTAAGCCTGCTGCCTGTTCATTCACTGGGTAAATCCTGATATTGGAGAACACTTTTATCTTCCTGGACACTCATTGACAGATCTCCAAGTTGCCGTTTTGGCTCTGACCAATTTCACAGGACAAATACACAGAGAAGGATTGGAACTTAACTTCATTCACAAGTTTAATTCTTATGCTAGTCGTCTGAACCAGGTTATAGGATGGCTCCCACACTATCTTCAACCTTTTAATGACTTAACCAATCAACCAAACAATGAAGATGCTAATGTTTCTTAACAGCCTCCTGTAACTATCTGAACTATCTACTTACTGTCTCTTTTTCTGGACATATTATACTCCGGTCATCTGAAGAAGTGGATTTTGCCCATGAAAGCTCATGATACCATCTACATGTTTTGTTAGTCTTTAAGGTGCTACTAGACTATTTGTTGTTTTTTAAGTTTTTCCAG